CCCTACCACTGATGGGTGGCTTGTGAGCTTCCCAGCTATGTGACTGTTCTAGCCCAAGGTCAAGCACATGGATGGCAAGCAAGATCCACGACGGGAAAGATAATTCTGTAAGGAGGAGCTGTGCTTCTCGATGAGGTGTGAGGCTCAGAATGACAGTGCTCACCCAGGAAGTAGGCCAGTGATACTCTCTCCAATCCTGATTTCAGGCATGGGGACGTAGGGAAGACCTGATCTCTTCAGCTTAGGAAAGAACAGAGGCTGGTGTTACAAAGCCTCTGGCTGCAGTGACTCTGGGCATCTGGCTGCCTCTGAAGCTTTTCTCAAGACAAGGTCACCTTCCCAGACTTCCCCAAACCCCCATGGGTCCATGTGGCCTTCATATGCTCTCCCTTTCACACCCTGAGGCCTGGGCCAGCCACCCCTCTGGCCTCCACATTGTCCGCTTCCCCAGGGATCCTGATTGCCTGAGGCTCTCTTTTCCTACTTGAAACCCTTTTTTCCTGATGTGGATGATGATGTCATTGTCACCATTTTGGGGGCTCATTTTACAATTGCATGTGTTGTTCCCGTTTCTCACAGGAATCATTGAGGTGATGTTATAATGTCTATCACTTTACAGTCGAGGAAACTGAGGCTCAGAGAGGTTGGGTAACTTGCCTGAGTTCACACAGTGGATGGATAAACTGTGGGATTGAAATCTAGGTCCGTCTAATTCCAAAGCTCATTCCAGAATCATTCATCCAGCAAAAGTCTCTGAATGGCTACTGTGTTCCTGTTTTAGAGCCTGCGGATCTCACAGTGCACAGCACAAAGCCCTGTCTTCAGGGTCTTCCATTCTAGAGGAGGGAGCAGCCAAAAGCTCATGAAAAATGTGGATCCAGGTGGCGATAGATGCTATGAGACAGAAAGAAAGGAGAAGAGAGAGAGTGATCAGGGAGGCCTTTCAGAGGAAGTGCTTTTGGGCGGTGCTAGAGACTGAATGTTTGTGTTCTCCCAAAATTCATATGTTGAAAGCCCTCCCTGGGATGGTATTAGGAGGTGGGGCCTTTGGGAGGTGGAGCCCTCACGAATGGGGTTAATGCCTTTATAAAAAGACCCCGGGAGCTCCTTCACCCCTCCCACCACGTGAGGATCTAGAGAGAAGATAGGCATCTACAAACCGGGAAGCAGGCTCCCACCAGATATAGGATCTGTCAGTGCCTTCCAGCCTCCAAAACACTATGTAAACATCTGCTATTGAAGTCTTCCAGGCCACAGCGCAGTACTCTGTGGGAGCAGCCGGAGCTGATTCATACAGGGTGAAGCAGGGAGAGAATGGGCCTTGCTCATTCTGAATCTGAAAGAGGAGTGTTCCAGCTGGACACTGGCCAGTGTGAAGGCCGGGGCAGGCAGGCTTGGGGACCTCTGGGCTGAGCCAGAGACCGGGGGGCTAGAAGGTGCGGCCCTCGACCGTAGAAGGAAGTATGGGGTGGGAAGAAGCCAGGGAGGGTCTCCCACGGGGCTGTTCGGGTTGTTTTATCTGAGCAGCGCCGCCACGGCTGCCGTGCTGAGGACAGACGTGGGGGTGAGGCTGGGAGCCACTACGGCCGTGGCCCAGGCAGGTGCTTAGGCCCGCACAGTGGTGGCGCTGCTGAGGAAGAACGGAGGTATTTTAGACATGTCTGGAATTGGGGTCCATGGGACTTGCTGTTGGATTAGATGTAGGGTGAGCAAATTAAAAAAAAAAAATAAGAAAAAAGAAAACAGAGAGGAGGAAGAGTCAAGGTTTTGGTCCGAGCGGGAAGGCTGGGTTCACCAGGGCGGGGGGATCAGTGTGATTGGGGGGGGGATGCTATGCCCAGAGAGCCTTCAAGTCACCGTACACAGGGCCTGGGGCTTGGGGGACAAATAAGGGCTGGAGACCCAGCTGGGGCCTCCAGGGTCTCAATGGCATTGACAGCCTAGGGCAGGAAAAAGAGTAAGAGCTGAGTCAGTGGTCTTCCATAGAGCATCCTGGAAGGGAGAAGGCAGAGGACCAGGAGGAAAGCAGGGAGCACTGTGTCAGGAAGATCTCAGCTTTCCCTTTGCTGCTGTCCATGGGCTGCGTGTGTGCTAGACCTATCTCTTACTAACCTCTGCTGAGATCCTCTCCTCTCCCCTGCATCACTGAATCAGTTCCCTCCACCAGATCATCTCTGGCAACATGACCATCCCCAAGCTTAAGAAAAGGAAAACCTCCCCTGATATCCTGTCTCCCTCTTGCTCCTGGCCCCTTTCTCGTGCCCTTCACAGCAAAGCTCCACTAAAACATTTCTATAAGTGCTTTTGGTGGTTGAAGTGCTTCTTTTTCTTTTTTTCCAGTGAGATAAACTGAAACGGAGCCTTCTACAGAATGTGGGAGGCTTGGAGAGAGTGGAGGCAGGGAAAGGTGGTGGTTTGCTGGACAGCGCACTCAGGCTGTGGTCATGGCACTGAGGTGGGTCTGGTCAGTGTGAGCGTGTGTGAGTGTGAGTGTGCAAGCGTGTGTTTGTGTGTGAGTGAGTGGGGTGTGCTTGCAGCCATGGCCATGTTTAGGTGCAGGCGTGCAGCACAGAGCAGTTGGATGTATCTAGACTGAGCCAACAGGATAGAATGAGAAAAGACAAAGAGAGAATTCAACCCAAACCAGCTTGGGTGATACCAGTAGACGAATAGCTCAGAGGTCTTGTCCTCCTGGAGTTCACGTTCTAGGGAGGAAACACAGATGATGCAAAGGAGAAATAAATAAGCTCTGTAGTGTGCTAGATGGTGCTAAGAGAAAAAATGAAGCAGAAAAGAGGATGGGTCTCAGGGTGGGGGCTGCAAGTTTAAACAGTGCAGCCTGGAGGGCATCAGGAAGAAGGTGGCATGTGACTGGGGCCTGAACCAGGCAATGGGGGGAGGATGAGGGTATCTGGGGAACAGTGTTGCACACAGAGGGAGCAGCAAGTGCAAAGGCACCAAGGTGGGAGCAGCTCTGCATATTTCAGGACCAGTCAGAAGGCCGGTGTGGCCATAATGAAATGAATTGTAGAAGACAGGGTTGGAGCATGAACTGGGGTTAGACCACGTAGGGCTTTGAGAGCCCTGTATGGGCATCAGCACTTACCCTGAGGTAGATGGGAGCCATGGGAGGATTCTGAGCAAAGGAGTGGCAGGAACTGAGATGTTGACAGGATTATACTATGCAGGGGAAGGGGATCATGGTGGGGATGGTGGCTTGGACTCTAGTGGGAGAGGTGAGAAGTGGTGGGCTTGAACATACTTTCTAGTGATTACTGGTAGGAGTTGAGGACATACAACAAAGGACCACAGTGATGGGCTGCAGAATCTGAGCTGCAGAAGGGAGGAGGTGAAAAAGGAAGGGAAGTGGCTAGGCTGCAGAGGCAAGGGCACCCCTGGGCTGAGGAACTGCCTGAGTGGACATGGGCATGAGCTAGGAGTGCTGGGGGCCCTTGGAAGGCAGGTTGACTGAAATGGAGACTGGGGTCACTCGTAGCATCCCCTGCCAGTGAGTGACCATAGGAGCTGGTGGCTGATGTGAATTGCAGTTGAGGCAAGTCCCCTGTGTGTGTGCACAGCATTAAGAATGACGGTGGCCATATGACCCAGCAATTGCACTACTGGGTATTTACCCCAAAGATACAAAAGTAGGGATCCGAAGGGGTACATGCACCCCGATGTTTATAGCAGCAATGTCCACAATAGCCAAACTGTGGAAAGAGCCAAGATGTCCATCGACAGATGAATGGATAAAGAAGAGGTGGTATATATATACAATGGAATATTATGCAGCCATCAAAAGGAATGAGATCTTGCCATTTGCAACGACGTGGATGGAACTGGAGGGTATTATGTTGAGTGAAATAAGTCAAACAGAGAAAGACATGTATCATATGATCTCACTGATAAGAGGAATTCTTAATTTTAGGAAACAAACTGAGGGTTGCTGGAGTGGGGGGTGGGGTGGGAGGGATGGGGTGACTGGGTGATAGACACTGGGGAGGGTATGTGCTCTGGTAAGCGCTGTGAATTGTGCAAGACTGTTGAATCTCAGATCTGTACCTCTGAAACAAATAATGCAATATATGTTAAGAAAAAAAAAAGAAGAAGAAGGTAGCCGGAGGGGAAGAATGAAGCGGGGGAAATCGGAGGGGTAGACGAACCATGAGAGACGATGGACTCTGAAAAACAAACAGGGTTCTAGAGGGGAGGCGGGTGGGAGGATGGGTTAGCCTGGTGATGGGTATTGAGGAGGGCACATTCTGCATGGAGCACTGGGTGTTATGCACAAACAATGAATCATGGAACACTTCATCTAAAACTAATGATGTAATGTATGGGGATTAACATAAGAATAAAAAAAAAAAGAAAAAAAAAGTATTTAAACCATAAAAAAAAAAAAAAAAAAAAAAAAAGAATGACGGTGGCCGTGTGTGAGAGAGGCAGCAGAGGCAATGGCCTCAGCCCAGAGAACAGGATGTGGGCTTTTTAGCAGGAAGGGGCTCTGAGGGTGAAACGGGTAGCAGTGCCTTGCAAGTAGCTTCTGTCTCCACACTCTGCCCTGTGGTGCAAGAACGTGGGGGAGAAAATCAGCATCCTCAGGGAGCCAGGCTGATCCTCCCCCATGGGAGAAGAGGCTGAGGGGAGGGGACTTGGTGAGGCGGTCAGGGGCTTAGGGACAGAGATGCCAGGCAGCGCTGAGGGCCTGGTCAGCGGGGGAAGCACTGAGCCACAGGGGAGAGGGCTGGGGCACGTGTGTCCTTGGTGTCTGTGTGTGGGAGGCCCGGGGCACTCTCAAAGTTGTCTGTGTGTGTCTCTCTCTTCCGTCCAGCCGCTCTTCTCTCCCCGGTCATTCAGTCCCCAGAGGGACCTTCTGATGATTCAAAGGCTAAAGTCAGTGGCATCTAGGCCACAAGGGGCCTGAGAAGCTGAGACGTCTGTCCCTTCCCTCTGATTGATGTTGGGTGCAGGCCTCTATGTCTGGCCAGATGCTTGTTGGTTCTTCTGCTGATCTAGTCCAAGTTCCACTGCCTGACATTTCAGAACTTCTGGATGCCTACAGCCCTTATTTCAGGTACAAATCCTCTCAATTTGCCTTTTATCCTTGCTTTTCATGTTTCAGCCTCCTGGCTGGAAGGAAGCTCCTGGGAGGCTTGAGCATGCACCATGCCATCTCAACTCTGGGCCTTTGCAAACTCCTGTTCTGCCAACAAGTTTAGATCATGTCACCTCCTCTGGGAGGCCTTCCCTGACTTCTGCAAAAGGCCTATGTGCTCCTTCCTCTATTCCTGCAGGAGGCAGCCAGTTTTCTCATAAATATTTTAGGCTTTACATAGACCACATGTGGTCTCTGTTCATATTCTTCTTTGTTTTATTTGTTGGTTTATTTGTTTTTTTTTTTAACAGTATTTTAAAAATGTAAAAACCATGACTCTATCAAAACAGGCCAGAGGCTGGGTTTAGCCTGAAGGCTGCAGTTTGCTGAACAACTTGTTCAAATCACCATTAACATGCTTTGCAGTTGTCTGTCTCTGCACTGATTTTTAACTACTAGAGGGCAAGGACTGTATTTTATATACCTCAACATCTGACACAATGCTACGTGAACAAATAAGTGATGTTGCATAAAATATCCTCTGACATGTCCCAGCTGACTCTTTTATCATTTCTCTGCACACCTGCCTCTCACATGTTAAATAAATAACCTCCTTAAGAGTCTCCAAGTCAGCCATTAAACAGTCCTTCCACAGATGCACCCTAAGCTTTCAATGATATTAATGGATGTCATTTATTAAGCTCCTGGTATGTAGCAGGCAAGTGTGGAGTCCTGGGGACACAGAAGTGAAGCCAACCGACTCTGGGTGTGTGTGTGTGTGTGTGTGTGTGCATGTGCTCATACAAGTAACTCAAGTACCGTTCACTCGGTCTCTGCACAGCCCAGGGTCACACTGACGTGCCCTCTATGATCCCAGCTGGATCACATGCACTAATCCTTACCACTTCTCTGGAGGACTTAATTCACTTAAAAAATCATATAATTGCATTTTCAGCATAATTAGGTACCTAATTACATGACTAAATGTCCTCGATCAGGCTGCATGTGTAAATAATGATGATTTAGTTAGCCATGCTTTGTTATTGGCTTTCCAGAAGGCCCATCAGTTGGCGAACAGGATGTGGAAAAGTGTTTTTCTCCTTCCTTCACTGGGTTTGAGAGACAGGAGCGGCAGAGCCCTTTCCTGTTGGGAGAGGAGCAGGGTGGGGAGAACAGGAGGTGGAGGGGACTCCTACTGCCTGGGGATCTTGGTTCAAAGCCTCAGGTAGTGCCTGTCAGATAAGGGCATGAGTGCCCACATTCTAAAGACAGACAAGACCACTTTCCCCCAAGATGTGCCAAGGGAGGCCAAAGTGGCCCTGAGATAGCTGGACCTCCAGATTATAACCAGAAGGGTAGGACTGTGGTGGGGATTCTGGAAGGAAGGAAAGCCACAGGAGTAGGAGGCATGCATGGCTCCTCTTTTTTCCCTGGAATATTTCTCCTCCTCCCAAGCCAGTGAGGGCACCCACACCAAGGGATAAGGCTTTCTCCCCTCCCTGGGCTGAGGTGTGCTGAGGTTCACTGTTCTTACACATGCAGTGGATCCTGAAAGAACCTACCTCAGAGGGCAGCTGTGAGGATGACATGAGATGATGTATATAGATGGTGCAGTATGATTTTATATGCAATACTTGTTAGCTAGCATTGTGAATGATACTTCTGGGGTTTGTTTTTTAAGCTGGACTAATGTTTGAAAGGGAGGGTATATTTTGACCTCTATATTGGGAGTGTATTGCTTGGGGCAGTGATGAAGAGAAGGGCAAATGCACATCAACACACTGCTCTACAGAAATCATCTTAAAGTGATTGACGGGGGCATTGTGATGCACAGCACAGGGAGTGTGGATTGTGGTGCCAGAGAGGTATGGCTATAGGTCCTGGCTCCTGAGTCCCACCTGCATGTGACCTTCTCTAATGCTCAGCTAACTCACCAATACAGAAGGATGCACCTGCATGGCTCCAAGAGAGGCAATGCCCAACACATGCAAGCTCTTCTTATCATTCCCACTTATTTGAGCATAGCTCCTGCACATTTGTGTGTACGTACATATGGCTCCTAGATGCAGGGCCCCTATGGGGGAAGCAGAGGGGGGCAGTGCTTGTGACCTGAGGGGTAGGGAATGCTTGTTTATCTCCTGGGATAGTTGTTTTCCAGATGCTTCCCACTCTGCTATTAGCCTTCCTTTGTCCTCTGGGTATCAGGGCAGAAAAAGGGCTTTAAGAAGTCACCAATTCACCTCATTTTGCATCCAGCACCAGAGCCAGGAAGCTGGCTGCCTCCAGTCAAGCCCCTGTGCTGTCTTTGTGCTTGGGGAGGAAAAGCTATTTCTCTTCACTGCACCCACCCCACCACCCCTCCACCGCATCCTCCCACTGTATTTTTGGCTGATGAAGATGCTCTATAATACATCTCAATCCATCACCCTGGCACACTCCTGTTCTGTCTTCCCAGCCCCTCGTTCAGATCTTGTGATTTATATTTCCCTAACATTAATCTTTTAAAAGCAAAGAAGCTATAAACACATACATAACTCTTCCTCCTGTCAGTTGAAATCCCATGACACAAATCAACTGCCATCTAAATTAAATGTTTCTTTCACAGAAAGTGATAAATGCCCTGGAGACCAATCAAGAAAGCCAACAAACTTAGACTTTGTTTCACTTTGGAATTTTGCAGGTAGGTTAAAGTCCAATAACTGGTTATATTTCATGACCAACAGGAGTGGTGAATTGGATGTTTTAATACAGCTGATATGGACAGGAGACTTTATGCATCTTTCCTCATCAGGGATCTTAGCATATCAAATGCAGGGTTGAAATCTAACACATAATCTTATGGGAAAAGGGTAAGTGCAGACACAATGTACTATAGTTTCTGTCAGACTGATCTATTACTTTCTTAAGCAAACCATGTAACAGAGTGAAAACAGAGTTACCAAAAGACACATCAGCCTGTTATAGAGTTGGATCTGTTTGACTAGTTAGGATTAGGACTCCCAGATATGCCAGATGGTCTAAGAGCAGATTTCAAATAATTTTATTCTGTTTAGCAGGGATGGTTTCATATTTTTAAAAATGCAATTTTTAATTCTATATCTTTCAAATATCTATTTTGGGGGGAAATATAGAAGCTATGTTTTTAGGAGAAGGAAGGAGATATATGAATGGCTAAATCCAGTATATATCTTGGGTTTACTTTCCTCTCTTCCTTTTCCATGTCTTATTGCTTCTTCCACCAACACTACCACATTCAATATCATTAATAAACTTCATTATTCACCTCATTATGGGAAGAAGAGAGTCCTTTTTTTTTTTTTTTTGAGAGAGAGAGAGAGCAGAGAGCATGAGAGGTGGTGGAGGGGCAGAGAGAGAGAGAGAGAGAGAGAGAGAGACAATGATGGAGCCTGATGCTGGGCTCGATCTCAGGACCCTGAGATCATAACCTGAGCTGCAATCGAGAGTTGGATGCTTAACCGCCTGAACCACTCAGGTGTCCCAGGAAGTAGAGAATCTTAAAGGTCAGGTAAAGAAACTACATCTTGTATTGTAGGACATGAATAGGTGAGAGATTATGGAAAAGGAGATTCTCTAGAAATTCTGAAGTAGTACAGGGATGGAGAGGAGAGCCTTTTCTCTTCCAAGTTTAGAAGAGCACTTGGAAGCCACTGAAAAAGGATCAGCATGACACAATGAGAAACTAACAAGACTGAGAGTAGTGGATATGAGCAGAGAGATATAGGTGTGAGGTGGGGGATCCAGCAAGTCACACTTGACAAGGCTGGGAGTCTTGAGGGTTAGAGAGTTTGAAGTTCTGACAGGAGTGTGATTAGAAGTTAAGTGAAGGAGATGGTGTGATAGAAGAGGTAGAAGGGCTATGAACAATTATTTATTATTTTGTATTAAAATATATACAGTTAATGAATAACTTCCATAATTATACCATAATTATATTGTAATTATGTAAAATAAATTATTACAAAATAAATACATCACTTAAAGTATTAAATACTAGGATGTGTTTCAGATTTTCAAATTTACATAAAAAATAGGTTTTTAACAATTGTGGGAGGCATCCATGTATGGATGGGATGAATGAGTAAGAAGGGGATCTTTTTTTTTTTTATTTGACAGAGAGAGAGAGAGAGAGAGAGAGAGAGAGAGGGAACACAAGCAGGGGGAGTGGGAGAGGGAGAAGCAGGCTTCCTGCCGAGCAGGGAGCCTGATGCGGGGCTCGATCCCAGGACCCTGGGATCATGACCTGAGCCGAAGGCAGATGCTTAACGACTGAGCCACCCAGGAGCCCCGAGTAAGAAGGGGATCTTGACAATGCTTGAAATAAGGATGCTTTTTAAGACTAGGAGTGCTCCATTTATCCAGAGGGCTTTGCACCCAGGCACCTTGCCTGGGGGTTGAGGCACTGAGTATGGGGTTCCTGCCTCAAAGCAGGAGCCTCTTGTTTGTGGTTCTCAACTCTGGCTGCACATCAGAATCACATGGGACCCTTTAAAAAACACCCATGCCCAGGTCCCATCCTCCTAGGGTTGCCAAAAAAAATGCAGACCACCAGTTAAATTTGAATTTTAGATAAACAACAACAAATTTCTTGGTATAAGTATGTCCCAAATATTGCAAGACAGCTCCATAGACTGTTCGGTTCTTTGTCAGCTCACCAGATAGATTGGGAGTTTTCTAAGGGGGATACACCTTGGGGAGAACCCTAGGATCTCCTGGGCACCAGCGCAGAGCCACAGGCACAAGCTAGCCTGAATTCTCACATTATCTCACATGTTCACAACCTTCCTGCTTGTCCTACGTGAGCCCATTGTACGTCACAAGGATTCTAATTCTATTTCACACCTCTAGGCTTTGGCTCATGCTGTTCCCTCTGCCTGAAATGTCCACTCCACCTAGCCTACCTGGGGAACGAATGTCTACACATCAAGGAGGATGTCTGTCCTGACTCCCAGTGGAAGTGACTTCCTGTTACTATGGTCAGACTCACCAAGTATGTCAAAACAACTCTGGGGGTGCAGGGAGGGCCATGGCATCTTCATCTCGGTATCCTGGCATTTTACAAGGTGGCTTGCACATAGTAAGTCAGTGGTTATCAAAAGCTTACTGAGGGAAAGGTCTTCTCAGTGGCCCAGATTGAAATGCAGCACTCACTGCCATGTCCACTTCCCCCAAAACTCTCTAGCATCCCCTTCTCCATCAACCCTCCTTGCCAAACCTTTACCTCAATTGCTCCTCATGGGGTCCAGCTACCTGTGGCCACCAGAAGTCTATTTGGTGCTTAGGAATGGAAAGACAGTTCCTGGGTCTCACTGCCCCTGTTTCTGAGGGGATGGGCCCTGGGGACAGGTCTGAGAAAGCAGCTGGTGAGCGGCTGGGCCCAGACCCACTTTATCAGTCCCAGGCCCACCAGGTCGGGCACCGGATCTCCCTGCAGCTGCCTGATAAGAGGCTCAGCTCTGCTTTCTTACCGCCTAGAGCCTTATCAGAGGCAGGCCTGGGTGAAGGTTCCATTGCCCTCAGTGTGAATGAAAGGGAGGAAAAAAGGCCCTCAGAAGAAATATGATGTCCTTGCGCTCAGACACAGTCAAGCTGGCTGCCTGCCTGTGAGTCCGAGCCCTACTGGTACAGATGGAGAGGGGCTCCGGCCAAGGCACCACAGGCTTCCCTATGCAAGAGTGAGTGGGGACCCTCATGCACACTGGGTCTGAAGCTTACAGAGACCTGAGCTCAGTGAGGGTGGGTACTGCCTTTCAGATCTCCGGACTTGGGTGTCTGTGTGTGTGTGTGTGCGCGCACGTGTGTTGGGGAGAGCAGGCAATGCTTAAGCTTGAAGCATTTGTTTCCTTAGAACTGTGGCACATAAAGTCCTTGGTGTCCTAGAGAGGAGCATACTGCCTGCCTGCCCATGAGCCTGGAGAGTTGCAAAGGTTATGGGATCAAGTTACACCTGAATCCTAGTGCTGGCTTGACCAGGTGCTATCAGTGTGCCCTTGAGACAGACTTTACATCTTTTCCAGGAACATTCAGGTTACTGTGTTGTGTGAGGACCCCAGGCTTCTCTTCTAAGCAGGTGTGTAACGGCACTGTCCTTCCTGATGCGCACATGAACAGCTCGCCCTGGCACCCCGGTACAGAGAGCATTGGATAAATGCTAATGCCCTCTCCACCCCTCTACCCTCCGCTGTACCAGGCTGGGCAAGGACAGAGTGAGATCGGAAGTGTGAGCGGCTTTGCTATGTGCCGGTAATTCCAAGCACCAACAGTTGCCCCGGGGGCCTGATTTCCAACAGGGTCCTCAGGTGAAGATGAAAAGTCGGTCACTTCCGTAGAAGCCGGATTCTCGTGCTGGGATCATATTATCTGAGGGGAGGAGGCACACAGGACAAACTCCTGTGTCTATATTTAAGCGGCTTTGGTCACTTAACTGAACTGCTGTCTGGACTGCTTATCAGACTAAACAGAAAAGTGTGCAGATATAAAGCAGGTGCAAATAACCTCTCAACATCTTTCCCATTCTTACGAACCTGACTGCTAGTGCGACTTGCCTGGGCAGGGGAAGTTGTATTAATTTCTATCTTGCACATGGGTGGTGGGGATGGTGGGGGGAGAGCCTGAGGTGGTGGAATCTTGGGCTCTAATCTGAGCTGTCTGAGCCTGAGCTGGTCTCTTCAGTTCTCTGATTTCCAGGAGAAGGAGTTTGCATTCCTGGGCTCTACTTTCATTCTGCCAGGGAAGACTGGGTGAGGCTGAACATGGTACGGGGACCTTCTTCTCCAGCAAGGTGGCAGCTTGGACCCCAGAAGCAGCAGGATGGACCACCCTTGTCCACACCCTTTAACAGTTCTCTCTTCACCCTCTTCTAGGCCAGACCATCCACCTCAGGGGAGAAGGTTGCTGCTCTGTGCTCTATGCTGGGTTGGTACCCCCAGGGTTTCCATGGACCCAGAGCTGCCTGTGAGGGGCTGATCCACATCCTTTTGCTCCAAGCTGCTCCATCAGGGGCCTGAGTGCCCTGTGAACTGCAGGTGCATGGGGCCCCGGGCCCTACACTCATACTCAGTCCTTGCAGAAAACCTTCAGACCCAGAAGGTGCAACCAGCAATTTCAGAGAGGCTTCTGGAAGCTGGCCTCTGTGTGCACTCAACTAAGGCATCTCTCAGGACAGCTGAGGACAAATGGGGGTCTTGGTACTACAGTACCCCCCTGTCTCCCATCTTCCTGTGTTTCAGGCACTCCTCAGGAGGTCCCTACCTTCTTCTCCCCTCCCACGCACTCTCACCACATGCCATGGCTCATCCAGGGCCTCGCTCTTAGTCTTTTGCTGGAGCATTAGCTGAGATGCTCAAGGGCTCCTCTATCAGGGTCAGAAGCATTCTAGTAGGAGGTTTGGAGACCCCAAAATTTGGGAGGATAGTGGAATTCCAGCTGCTACAACAGGTGCTGGGAGAGTCCCATTGTCTCTCTGCCACCTCCCTTGTCGGTCTTCATCTCCTTCTTACCACTTCCCACCCTCCTCCCCCAGTCACACTGCCTCCTGGCTGTTCCTTGATCAGGCCAGGCCTCCTTCTACCTCAGGGCCTTTGCACTTGCTATGCTCTCTACCTATTATGTCCTCTCTCAGATATTCCTGTTTGACTCCCTGGCTTCCTTTAGGTCTTTCTCAAACATCATCTCTCCCAGTGAAGACTTCTCTGGCCATGCTCTTTAAAATGGTACCTCCCTTGTCTCTCTGGGCTCAGACCTAGTTTGTGGTGACATGCCTAAACGCACCAAGAAGGTCTGAATCGTGGGTAAATATGGGAGCCGTTATGGTGCTTCCTCAGGAAAATGGTGGAGAAGACTGAACTAAGCCAGCATGCCAAGTACACTTGCTCCTTCTATGGAAAAACCAAGATGAAAAGACAAGCTGTGGGGATCTGGCATTGTGGCTCCTGCATGAAAACCGTAGCCAGTGGCACCTAGACCTACACCACCACTTCTGCCGTCACAGAAGTGACAGAATACTGAAGGAGTTGAAAGACCAGTAGAAGCTCCACCATTTGAAACATTGCTATCCTATAATAAATGAATTCATTTATGTAACAAAACAAAACAAAAAAATTAAATAAAATGATACGTCCCTCATCCCTGGCCTTCCTTATCTCCCTTCTTGATTTGATTGTCTTCTCTAGCACTTGGCACTGTCTGATGTACTGAGCATTATGCCCATGTGTCTAGTGTCTATCTGTCCAAGCCCCATAGAATATAAGCTCCCTTTTGTGATTACTGCTAGTTTGTTCACTGTCATATCCCTAGAACCTCACACAGTTGGTCCTCAATACATGGCCATGGAATGTGATTCCTGGCCTACCAGCTAACTGGTGTCGGTGGTGTAGGCAAAGAACATGGGTGTAGACTCAGGGACACTAAGGTTGAACTTGGATCCACCATTTTATAACTGGTCGAATGCGAAAACACTCCTGAGTATCCAGCTCCAAATCTGAAAAGAGAGGTGATAACCTCCCGAGGGGGTGAGAGGTTTCAATAAGGTCTGGGACAATGCACCTGGCCCAACCCCTGCCATGTGGAGAGTTATCCCTCTTCCTTGCCTGGGCTGTGGATGAGAAGCACTGTTTTCTGAACTTGGGAAGTGAGCTGGCTGGCCCCGCAGCTACAGATCCCAGACGGAGCCTGTCTTATGTGTTGCCTTTCCTCCCACCCCTGTCAGGGTGAGGTGAGAATTTTCTGCAGGGCAGCAGCAGAGCCCCGAGTGCCTGTACTGACAGAGGGGTGACTGGAGGACAAGAGACAGTGAAGACTGCAAGAGTGGCCCTCTCCTTGGTGGCTTGGGCACTGGCAGATCAAGTTATGGGAACCAAGGCGCTTTGTGTGTCCCCAGCTTGGCCCACGTGGGCCTCCCTGTCTGATGTCTGGTCCTTGACCTTGACTGCAGGTCTTTCTTCCATGGCTTCTTATTCATCAGTGGGGTGGTGGTTTCCCTGGAGAGAGGCAACGGGGCCCAGATGGGCTCTAGTCCTGGAAATTGAGCCATTAGAGATTCCCCTGTTGGTTTAAGTCAGGAGTTGACACACGTTTTTGATAAAGGGCCATGTGGTAAATAGTGTAGGCTTTGAGTGCCATATGGTCTCTTACAAAAAAGCAATCATAGACAAATGAATGGGAGTAGCTGTGTTCCAATAAAACTTTATTTATAAAAACAGGTGGCAGACTGGATTGGAGCTGTGGGCCTTAGTTTGCAGACCCCTGGTTTAAGTCTCTGTATCACTGAGTCTCTCTCTTCCCACTCAGGCTAATACTTACTATTTGTCCCATGCTAAGCCTGGGCCTTTAAGGTGTCCACAGGGAGGAAGCCATTGAGTGGCCAAGCTGCACCGTGAACCCAGGTCTGTCACACTGAAGGCCTGAATTTTCACCTGCGCAATGCACAGCTGTTCGAATGTAGGCTCGCTGTCCGCTGCCGTGGCCACCTTCTACAGATTAAAGAGTCTGGTGGCACATGGGGCTCACTGCATCCTGGACATCCCGTGGGGCGGCGGGTACACAAACATCAGGGACATAGAAACCAAAGGGGGTGAGATCACTATCCTGAGGTTGTCCTCATGGCTTAGTGGTGGAGCCAACAGTAGCTGGCGATGTGGCAAGGAGGGGTGGGGTCCTGCTTCTGAGTTAAACCTTACACAGGGTCAAAGCCATCCGTGCTGGTGAGGGCAGTGGCCTGGGCCTTTCTGACTTGGCTCTGTGTATCTTCTCTGGCCAATTGCACTAATTGTCCAGGCCCTGTCACAGAGGGACTTTTCAGGGAACCCTGAGCCCTTGGGGCATTGGGTCCCAGAACAGGATAAATGGCCAGAGCTGGCTGCATCGTAAGGGCTTGGTGCAGGGAGGCCAGAGGAGGTCTGGGAAGTGTCCTGCTGCAGTCTGAGCATCCCTGAGTGGGGCGTTGTTGGCTCAGAAGGAGATATCATGAACTGAGACAGAGGAGAATGCCACCCTGTGCTCATTCCCTCTTGCAG